TTTGTCCCTTGTTCAACCATGATGGGTGGTGCTCAGAAATTCGACGATGCAACTGCTTCTTTGTAAGTCAGTGAAGAGAAATATGATAATATATAGAGTTGTTATAATTCTCACCACGATGGTGCTTTTAAAACTGAAAGTATTCCTATGTAATATGATGCTTTAAAGTAGACATGTCCAAAGCGAACAACGGTTCATTTTTTGGTAAAGTTTATATTCTCTGCGAAGCATGACTGTTTTTGAGTAACTTCTTTAATCACAGCAAAACGGAGCTTCATAAGTAAGCTACAAATAGTCTGTCAAAGTTTAAAAATCTAGCCCCGAACATTGAATACACTCTTAAAAGCAATCAAACCAGGGTGCTTTCGAAGACCACCCTGACAACTGCTAAATAACTAACTACGTTTCCTTTTCTTATTAAAAACTGCCTTCCACACCAGAATATAGCAATCTGATTAGTTATTTCAGTAGTTGCTAGAGTAGCCTTTAAAGTCATCCTTAAGCAGAAATATGTCAAACTTTTACCGATTTTGTAGAGTTAATTAATACAAAAGATTAAATTTTAGCAAGCTTGAAGTGGCCTTTGGGTTTGCATACATCTTTAAAGCTAATGGTATCACCGATGAAGATTACCTTTAAAATCATGATGATGTCCGATGAAGCCTCCAAAAACTATATTTCTCTTTACATGGTTCATGTGACAACCTATTAACCTCGCCTAATTAACTAGTTCACTAGTTACTACTCGGTCCTAAACCCGAGTCAAGAGGGAAGGTTGAGCATAGGGCTAGCAACCCTACACCGGAAAACCAATCCAGTCGCTACAGAAACTTCAAAGCACAGACAAAATATAAAAAATAAAAACAAACTCATTCCTAGCTGAAATCGGAGAGACGAAATGAGACCGGTTGGTGAGAGCCTCCCTTCGGGAAGCCAATTGGCCGATGTGTCTTCACCTCTCTCGATGGAAGCAAAAGTAAGAATGGAGAAATGGAATGTCCACACAATGTTTGAACGTGATAAGACTCCCACATTGCAAAAGAGATGAGGAGATATATTATTGAAGTGCTAGGAATCTGCGAAAGCAGATGGAATGGAAGTGGACTCTCCAAACTGTCAACTGGAGAGGAGTCAATAATCTACTCCGATATTGTCACCCAGACGACAACCACGAGCACACTGAGTTATGGAGTGGCTATCACGATGTCCCCAACAGCATCGAAGGCTCTCTCATGCAGTGCGAACCAATCCCCTCCAGCAGGATCATGACAACAAGGTTCAACTCAGAAGGAAGGAAAGTCACAATCATACAATGCTACGCTACGCTACTCACCTACAAATAATGCAGATGAAGAGAAGAAGGAGGAATTCTACAGACAACTGCAATCAACACTGGACAAGACCTCACTGCAGTTGGCGATATCAGAATTCTAATGGGTGTGGCGACATGAATGCCAAACTGGGAGGGGACAACACAGGAAGAGAACTAACCATGAGTTGAGAAGCGCTCGGTGAGGTGATGAACGAGAATGGAGAACTATTTGCAGAATTCTGTGCATTCAATGACTTAATGATTGGAGGCAGTGTGTTCAAGCACAAGGATATCCACAAAGCGAGTGACATGGATTTGACCAGACACCAGGACACACCTCTCTGAAAATCAGATCGACTTCATCTCAATGTGGAGAAAGTGGAGACGTAGCCTACTCGACACAAGATCGAGAAGAGGAGTAGATGTAGTTTCAGACCACTAACTATCTCTCTAGTGCAAGGAACCTTCAAAGAGTTTGGTGGTAGACCATAGTTCAGGTTCAATGCCCAGAAACTGAAGGATGAAACTACAAGGGACATCTTCACGTCAGTCAGCCATGAAGACAAAATGGGAGATATCTAGGAGCATCCCTGAAGAGACCTGTGTGGAAGAATACTGGAACTCCTTGAAAGCTATGTGGAAAGAAACCTGCATACCCGTATTAGGAAGGAAGAAGAAAGAAGGCAAGGAATGGATCGCGATGGCCACATGGAAGCTGATAGAGGAGGGTGATGAAGATGGTGAGGCAGAAGATAAATCAGTGCAGTGCACGGATGAACAACGAGAAGAGGAAGTGAGGACAACGTGTAAAACACTAGACTGGACAAAGAAGTGGAGGAGACTACAAGCAAATACAAAAGACACTTCTACGACACACTTGCAAGTGAAGCAGAGCAGTCTGCTAGTAGGAGAGACAGAGACCTGACAACACTATATCAAATCACCAGGTTACTATCCGAGAAGAGATCAACTCAGACGAAACCAGTGAAAGATAGTGAAGGAAATGTAGTTCTCACCGAAGAGGAGGAACAAAGGAAACGTTGGGCTGACCACTTCGAATAGCTGTTGAATCGACCACCACAACCACAACCACCACCACCACCACTACGACCACAACACGCTGGCTGGCTGCCTGACTGGCTTCAGGAAGAACCAATCATATGCGGACCAAACTGCAATGCTACCCTACGTTTCATCATAGAAAAGAGTACAGAATGCCACTCAACTTCATCAACTTCGAAAAGGTCTTCGACAGTGATGACCGAGAAGTAATTCGGAAACTGCTTCAACACTACAGAATACCACAAACCTTTATCAACCTCATTCAACAACTAACTACATGAAGACGCCACATGCCAAGTGATTCAAAGTGGGAAGCTCAGTGATGCCTTTGAAGTGAAAACAGGAGTGAGACAAGGCTGCCTTCTATCGCCTATGATCTCCCTGATTGTGGGCGACTGGATAATGCACCAAACTGTGAGAAGCTGGACCGATGTAACTACCCGAGAAGAAGATTTAGATTTCGCCGATGATCATCTATGTCTAATGTCTTGTGGCACAAACTCGAAGATCTACAGGCAAAAACCAACAAGTTGACAGAAGAGGCAGGGCAGCGAAGCAGAGACTTCAAGTGAACGTGGAGAAGACAGAGGTGATGAAGACACCCAACCAACAACAAGCATCAATCACCATGAACGGGAGAAACCAAAAGAAGTAGCCTCTTTCACCTATCTGCCTAGACAGCATCGTTTCAACTACAGGTGGCGGCACAGGCACAGATGAGGACGTCAAAGCCAGTCAGCATCGAAAAGATAGCAAGACAGGCCTTCGTTAACCAGAAACCAGTGTGGAGATCTACTGCACTGCACTGCACTCTACTCCACTCCACTCAGCATAAAGCTTGATTCAGATCCGGATTCCCAACACTAATGTCAGTCAAGTCAGTGCTTCTATGTGATGGTTCAGAAACTTGGCACCTTACGAAAAGCATTTCCAACAAACTGCAGATGTTCATCAACGACTGCCTACGCTGGCTCGTTACTGAATCTTCGATGGCCAGAAAGAATAAGCAACAAGGAACTCTGGCAACAAACCAACCAAGAACCTATCGCTCAACAAATATGCAGAAGGGAGTGGAAATGGATTGGCATGCACTGAGAAGGCCGACTGGGGACATCACGCGCCAAGCCCTCAAGTGGAACCCAGATGGGAAGCGACGAGTTGGGCGTCTAAGGTGAGGGTGACATGGAGGGGATCGTGTGAGGAAGAAATAAGAGCTTCTGGGCAGTTGTGGAACCAGGTTCAAAAGTTTACAGAGAACAGAGTGGAATGGAGGTGTGCTACTGAAGTCCTTTGTTCCACTGGGAACCCTTTAGACAAATAATAATAATTTACAATGTTTAGGAAACGTTTTAAATGCTACTATATTTTGGCAACTTCATGACGGCAAAATGTTTTCCGTAACCAGCAGCTTCTTTTTATGAGCCTAAATTCAAAGAACTAAGAGATGTGAATGCTAGAAATAGTATGGCTTAATTCAAGTCATTTAGCAGTCGATCTACTCTTAGGTTATACTTGTTGTGTTTTTTATCATTTTACTGAATAATAAGAATGAATACTGCCTAATGAGATGATGCTAGCTTATTTAATGAGTTACCTCGTGTTAAATACATTCTGATCCCTATAATGCACTTTTCGGATAATGTGTATTTGTTAAAAAATGTTAAAAAATTGAGAAACAGTGGTTCATAAAGGAAGTTACAAAATGGATAAGGAATTATTATGAAGGTTTTCTAACCCTATGGTATCTGGACTTATGAACTGTAATAAATGTAAGACAAGTGCAACGACGTCAAGGAATATTACTATCATTGAAATATATCACAATTAGTCAAGTATTCGGAGAATAAAATAGGAGCTTGGAAACTATGCGAAGTGTATTAAAGCTACTGATGCATAGGTATTTCTTTCTAATGAAAATTTCTCATAGTCCTAAGATATCTCTAAGACTACTTTTTAGAGTTCATTACTAAAGCCAAAACGATTGAAGTTGTTTTGAAAGGACATCATTTTTCCAAACATGGGTTTTAATTTATTCATCATGTGATGGGCGTATTTGGTACAACTTAAAATGACGTCTGCTATTTGGGGATTTCTCTTCAAATTCTTTCAATTATCTCCTATAAATCATATGTTAATTTATTAACACTTGATTCCTACCTTCGCTGAAGGTAAGATATTGGTGGAATCATGACACATCAACAAGAGGTTTACAGTGCCCATAAATGTGATTACTGACAATCAACTGCTGACTAATAATTTTTGACAGTTTAATGATTTTATATGAATAGTATAAAATAGATATGTTCTCGGTCATTAACTGACATAATTACTAAACTAGAACAAAAAAATAATGCGATTTTTTAAAAATCAGAGAGAAAACCTGTTAGTTTTTCCTACAGAGTAGGCTAAAGTAATGACTACCATATTTCCTGATAGTTATTTCTTCATTAAAACACTAACTAATATTGTTTTCAGGGGACCATCGCACCAAAAAGTATACGCCACCACAGATATTTTTATAAAACTAAAGTTAACTACTTCTAAGTAGCATAAAGGATATCCCTAAATTTATCAAGCAGTAAACTGTCGAATTAACATTTCACTTCATTTTCTATCCATATTACAGGCACAGCGCGTAGAACCGTAGCAGCAACAAACATGAATGAGACAAGCAGTAGAGCTCACACTTTAATTACGATAACCTTCGACCAATTTACCGGTGCTGATGAAGCCAACATATCACGGAAACGTTCAATAATAAATTTAGTTGATTTAGCAGGTTGGTTTTCACTTTTTCCTGATATTAAATGGAGTCTTCGGATATTAATGCACATAATCGGATGGTATATATGAGTTAAGTGTGACCTGAAATGGAGGGAAGTTTCGTTCGTGATATTATATGCAGTAATCCACCTCGACACATATGCGTAACTGTCAAAAATGATCAAATACGCCTGATAAAATTTTGACAAACGAAATAAGGTAAACTGATCGTTTACTCAAGGAAACTAGCACTTAACTTCCACCCACAATTCAAAACACCCATCACCTCTACACCGAAAAATGCTTATTGGCTAACTTCTCATGCACAAGCAACATTCATATATAACTACACTTCTTTAACACCATTGATACTTGTAATTTCCCGTTGTTATTACAGATTGGACTGCTCCACCCCTGTTGGCAGATGGGCTTCTATGCAGATGCCTCGATACTACATGAATATTCATTATATTTGATTTATATAAGTTGGCTAACAGTGAAATTCAAGACACGTATTTCATCCTAATTGTGACTTGTCAACCGGATGTGCTTGCATCTCAGTGACTGCTAATATTCATGTCGAGACCCTAACCAGTACTCATTTTCTCAAACATCCAAGAGTTATCCACTAGGCCGGTGTCTTACGAGATTCAACTGTAAGTCGACAAGTAAATGAAAATATAATGAACAATCAGGCAATAGCGAAGCATCCGCATAAAAGCCCGTGTGCCAACTAAGATCGAGCGTTTCGATTAATTATAACAACGGGAAATTAATGCATCGATGAAATAATAATAATTGATATTTGGATGTAAAACGACGACTCTCGTGGACCAGTGGACTAGGAGATAACACCTTAAGATTTGAAGTGATTGATGCTGACTTCCATTCTCGATGGGAACACCGTCAGTCACTGAGAAAAAAGTAAATTCAGCCGACAAGTCGAGAACGGGAAGCCACACGTGTCCTAGATTCCACTGTTAGCCATCTGGTAAATCACAATGTCACGGTTATTACTGAAGACTGAAGTCAGGGGACTAATGTGGATTCACAGGAGCGAAATCGCACAGAAACTATTTACAAAAGCTTAGGTGTTTAAACTTAATGTTTCATATTTAGTCAATGAAAACACCTGTTGGAATTCATGTAGTTTCTACGCCTGAAAATCAGTCCAGTTAAGCTGAATTCAGTTTTTATAGATAAGGATACTGAACTCTTAAATATACAGTATAAGAACTTGCATCATAAATCTTTTCCAATTTATTTGTTAGTAAATTATTCGGCTTAGAGAAGATTAGGAATCAAGTGTTCATGAGTGAATAAAAATGTAAAGAATCGTTTTACTTCCATTTCAGCTGGTTTATCGGTTGTATCACACGATGAAACAGTATTATTTACTGTGTAAGGTTTTGAATACAATTCTTTGTTTTTAATCTTGTCAAGGTAACGCTATAACGTTGAGTTATGGTTGGTTTTACTTTTGTAACGTATGTACTAGGATTTCTCATATATTTTGAAAAGATGCTGAATAGTTCATATTGCACAAACTTAGTATTGGTTTGAAAGACAATGATCTCGCTGTCAATCTCTGCCTTCACTGAAATAAGTTTTTAGGATTGTCACTCAGTTCATTCTATTGTGTGGACTAGATAACAATCTACAAGTCCTTTGAGTTATAGTTGAATCATTTTCCATTTACGATTCATATAATTACGTCTATTGAAACAAACTGAAGTAAGTAAAACAAGGTTGATTGTCAGTACGGAAGAGAAAAGTGAGAAAATATTGATATATAAGAGAGCCACTGTAAAAGAAGAAGGAAGCAAGGATTCCAAAAGATTTGGGATTAGAAATGAAGATTGGTTTCTACGTAAAAATACCTAGTCACTTTATCGGATTCACTCGGTACTGCAAACTTCTTATTTATGAATACTTATACTTTCCCGTTGATTTTTATGTTGGACCAATTTTATTTGTCTCTTTTGGTTGCTTTCCTTGAAAGAATCCTTCGACGTTGCCTCAAGGTTCATTGTGACGTGCTTGATTGGTGAGGGCTAATGAGGGATGCAGGGCACGCGTTTTTCCTTATTTTGGACTCTTCAGGTGTATGTGCCTGCACCCCAGTGACTTATGGTATTCCCATTGAGAACAGAAACCAACTTCAATATTCTTTGAAAACCACAGAGTTTTCTACTATATCACTCAGTCGCGAGATCTACCTCTTTTGCAATGGGTATTTGTTTTTTATTGGTGCTTGTAACCCCCTGTTGACTTCTATGAAGCATCTGTGTAAAAGTCCATAAATCAACTGGCTCGTACGTTGGGACGAGCTTCCTCTCCTTCGTATCAGAGGTTAATATTCATAGCTGTTGTTATCATCTGACCTATACTATTGAAGTATTATCTGCCGACCTCTTCTCAGTAGTCGGTATGACGAGTCAATGTTAGTCACCATTTCCATGGAATACCTTACTTCTATTGAAGTTTTTGTGTTTGCTTGTTGGATTACTTTCACTTATGACTATCAGATTTGTAGATGTGCTCATAGAAATCTGTGAGGAAGTGCATCACTCATCAAAGCTTCATGCTAAAAATCGCACATATTGGTTACAATAATAAAGACAGATGTGAATTAGACAAAAGTAGGTATAAGGATACAAAAAAGCATAATCCACTTTGAACATAAATATATGAAATTTTTATATACTGGAATAAATTTATAAAGTGTCGTTAATCTTCGACAACCTCATTTGACGATTAGTGAAGATAAAATTCTCTCCAAAGACCTTACATGCAAGCAAATTTAAGTGTAATATAATTTACTCATTGTATCATATTTCAGGTTCTGAAAGAGCTGAAGCTACAGGAGCAACTGGTGATCGTCTTAAAGAAGGTGCGAAAATCAACCGTTCATTGTCAGCATTGGGAAATGTGATATCTGTGAGCAATTAATTTTTGGCATAGCTATCTTTTCATATCTACGCATAATTTGTAAATACTTATTACGTTAAGCAGATCGTTTCTATTTCTTGTGCGCTAATTTTCTAAAACACTATTTGTTTATTTTACAGGCACTAGCGGAAAATAAAAAAGTTATCCCTTATCGTGATTCAATACTTACAAAACTACTGCAAAACGCATTGGGGGGTAATAGGTGAGTTTGCTGTCTGGTGAAAAATACGTATTTGAATGCTTATTTTCAGCTAGCATGTAAGGTTTTATCTGATTGGCAATTTCCTGGGATTATTAGCACCAATTTCATAGTAATGCTAGGGAATACTGACTGAGTTATCTTTGACTTATTCCTCAAAAAAGTAGGACTTTTGGATCAAATCTTTACAATAACTAGTAAACCTACACACCTTGAGATGTGTTCGATAAATGTTTAACATAAATTATAAGAAATGATTTTGATGACCCCGAAAGTCCGGTTAATATACTAAATCAACTGATGAACTGATGTGTTGGTCTATTCCCAGTCTACCTGAAAATCGTATATGTGCTAATTTCTTTAAAAGGTGATGGATGTAAAATAAGTGAGATGTAATGAAGTTATGAATCCAGGTACCATTCCCTTCCCACATGGTAAAGGACGAACCGGTCAGAAGCATAGATGTTTTACAAATATATTTAGGAATTGAAATATTTCAGAGAGAGCGGTGACATTGTGGTTAGTTTTAAACTATCATAGGTGTGTGTGAAAAATGTGAACAATGTTTTCACTTATTCCTAAAAGTTGGGTAGATTACGTATCAGGACTAAAACTGCAGTAGAATAACTTAAGCTCAGGCCACATGAAGCTCCAAAGCATTCAAGTTATTCATCTCTTATTCAAGCATGCATGTATTGAGTTTCTTAACTTAAAGTCGAAAGATTCTACAAGTATTTTGAACAGTTGTGTTAAATGTTTTGCAGCAGGTCCAAATCATTTCAGTTCAGAAGAACATTAAAAATAAATAGGAAGTAGTTTAAGTCTCATCTGTTATCGAATAATCCTGGCAACATTACTTCGTGAATTGGCGAACTGACCGATGATTAAACCAAAATCGTCTGTTGTCTGTGACATTTTGAAGAGATTTATTCCTATCTTGAAATCGAAACCCTTATTATTCAGCTATTTATTTGAAGATATTGTGATTAAGTCGCTTCTAACCATAACACTTTTTTTGAGAAATAGCATAATATTATTATGACGTTCAGTAAGTTTGTACGAGAGACGGAAAAATGTTTTCTCAGTGCTTATCAGTAATTTCTTTAATTTTAGAAGTAAATGATTTAAGTGAATTAAGATCTCCAAAAAGGTGTAAAAGACAATAAAATTCCCTATGTATTCAGCTCATGAGTATTAAACACAAATTTAATCTTTGTTATGTCTGCTTCATAGAATATAAACAAAAATTTGTCCTATAGTATTGGATGTAAAATTATAAATGTTAATATTCGCCTAAGAATTCTTGAACAATAACCTATAGGTTCCAACCTTCTGCATCATTTCATTCTTTGGAAAAAGAAAAGGTCTTAAGATAACGGGAAGCCCTTTTAGGACGGCAAGCTATATGCCAAATACAGTGGTACACATTCATATTCATTCATATTAATATTCATTTCATATTCATACTCACACTGCTTTTGTTATTTTAAGGTGTTTCTAGAAGTGTACTTACTATTCATTTTTTCCTATTGAGCAATTTGACATTCAGAAATGTGATCACTTACCTCCTCTCAAGATTCACAGTGTGACTGTTTATGAAATGAGAGTATAATGGTCCATTCGAATTCACCGTCAACTTCTTAACAGTGTATGTAAGCCTAAAATAGAGTGGTTTTCTTCTAGGTAAATGTATCGACTTAAGTGAAACTAGCTTATTTGCATTCACTAAGCTATGCAATGGTTGGAAGAACAAGTTGGTTGTCCGAGCAAGAATATATCTGCTTTTCTTTCCCTTTCCCTTTGAATTAAGAATAGAAAAGTGTATTCACAATATTTTCTGTCTGAGCTTCTGAGAGCAAACTGGAATGCTTTGCATGCCTTACTTTCCTAATTTCATTAAATGCCACGAAAGTTAAATTTATGCCATCATCCGCTGGAACAATTTCAGTGAAATTAATATAGTTAAACGAACTTAATAGTCTTGAGAAAAAACTTTCGGTTGTACTTTGTGGTTTCTGATAGCTAAGTAGCCATATAGTATGCGCGTCAGCATTAATAAAACAAGTACTTTAACATATAAATCCTGTGAGATGGGCCTTTATTAGCCAATAGGACTTTTCAGGCACATGCAAAGTATCAGTGTAAGAGTAGAACTTGAGGACCTTCGGTGTGAACATCAATGATAAATTCTGTTCTAAACGTTGTTTAGTCCATAATGCTCTTTCACTGTGTGAAATAACCAGTGAATAAGCTAAAATAAAGTCTACAAGTTAGGTAAGATACTATTTTTTTAATCTACATAATCTCTGAAAAATCTGTCTATTAATTTGAGTATGTAATCTTGTCACACACTTCTGTTTGTCAAGCACTTGATTCTCATTACAGACCAGATATAATAGTTTGCATAGCAGATTAAGACCATGTTAGTTAGTTGGAGGGGATCAGCAGGAAGCCCTTGACATGGATTTTGCACTTGCTGGTAATCATCAAAAAGGCGTATTTGCAAACTCCATGGAATTGATATCCACTGTGGGATTTGAACTCATATCACCTGGCAATAGTCAAATAAGTTATTACCGTGTAGTAATTTGAACATACGAAGACTTAAGGCAGTTCGGCTTACCCAGTAAAATACTCTGTAATGCGTATCACTGAATTTGATAATGCTGCTTTAATGAAGTCTTCACAGTTTATATGCATATATTTTATTCCAGCAAAAACAGTTATGATTGCGGCTATATCACCAGCTGATATTAACTATGAAGAAACATTGTCGACATTACGCTATGCTGATAGAGCAAAGCAAATTAAAAATAAGGCGTTAATAAACGAAGACCCCATGGAATCATTAATTCGCCAATTGAAAGTAAGTACGCTTCTTGTCATATTTCTCAGATGATAACTTCTCGAAGAATACTTTAGCATTGACTGATATTGTAGTGTAGAATGCTAGTTTGGTCTTGCATCTTGATGGTGAGGTGAATTCACTTGTTCCATTTGGCTTGCTATAATAATGGGATATTAAAATAGTGCAGGTAACTTGTATTACATGCTTTTACGTCGTAGATTTACGACTGAAAGTTACAGCATATTTTCAATTGGATGCCAACATATTTCTGTAGTGAAATTGATGCTTTTGGCCATTTTTTGTATGATGTTGTTTTGAAAGGTCTATTAGTTAAAGAATTAATGTCCGAACGAATTCATTTCTTTGGAGAATTGAAAAGCGTTTGGTATAAATACCTATATATATATAGTGGAAATACATGCAAAGATGTTTGTTGAAATTCAAACTCAGATATCAAAATGGATGGATGTGTTTCTGGACTTCACAAAGAACTGATAAATGTTACAATTCCGAATTATTCATTATATCTAAGCTGTGTTCAACGTTTACTCAACCTATATAATAGTATTTTGAAATAATTTATATTTTACAGCTCAACATGAAGATAGAATCTATCTGATACTATGAAAGAGTCTTTGAAAAATTTTACAACATGTATAGGCTTGCAAACAATAGTATTTTTATTTCTAAAATGTTGGCTAGCTTTTATTGTAAGATGTCAAACTGTAGAATTTCCTTTTAGTTCAAAACAGGGAAAAATATAATCTCAGGATTGAAAAATAAAGGGATTTTGCTACTCTTTGTCGCTTCTCTTACTTATGTGGTTAAGAAATTTGTCCACTTGTCAGAAATGTGAATGTGGATAGTATACTGTAAGAGTACTTTGTCAGAATAATATTTATGTGAGGTCTGGAATTAGGAACTCAATTTGAAGAAATTTTAAGCAGGAAAAATACCAGTTAATAAGTGTATAGACTGAACGTAAGCATATTCACTGTCTGATAATCATTCAACTCTTAAAAGAATAGGAATAGCAAAGGCGATCAAAAGCCACTGTCACGTTGTAATCTTCAGTGGGATGGTGGTATGGTGTCCTCTGAGTTTTGGTATGAAACTTCCATCATCAGGCTTGGTAACATCTTCAGCCCTAACTTGATATAGGCTTCTTTATAATACCCATTGTTAGTAGATTTGACATAGCATTTTTAACATTTCAAAGCAGAATCCAGCTGCATTGGTATGAATAGGTATCATTATCAGACACTAAGCTAAAGACGTACGTCAAACCTTTCTAATAAAATTTCTTTCAGGGTTACCAGGTATCTAACACCTGCTGGATGAAGGTTTGGAGTAATACTGAAAAGGATAAAGGTTTTGTTTGCATCTTAAGTATCTATTCACCTCTAAGCTAAATTTATTAGCTGTGTACACATGGTAGTTTTTACCAGATAGTTGTAAATTGCAATATGAACTCACTTACCGAGATTATTAGTAAGCTGATGCGTAGGTGAAAACTGTAGTTGTTTCCGAATTTACAGTTAAACGAAATATTTTCAAAAGTAAGAACAATTCCAATTCTCTGAAAACTCTACTAATCATAAATGAAACTTCTCAAGTATTAGTTAAGATCAAATTGAAACTGGAGCACCTGCTGTCGGGATTCACTTCGTATGTCGAAAAGTTTATACACATAACTATATATAGGCTCAATTTGAAAACTTATTTTCTCGATTCGCCGACTTCCGTTCAATAAATGAGGATGGAAAAAGAGATTCAAGTCTACAGTTGTTGCCACTCCTAATTAATACCTTGTGTCACCAAACCTGCAGTCAAACATTTACCCAGATAACATCAAGTAGCAGTTAAAAACTCCATAAAGAATCACAATATGGTGGTTCTAAAACCTGAATTAGCTTTGAAGGTTTTGTCATGATAAAAGCATGACTGTGCCCAAAAATAGAGTAGTTTCTAGATAATATTTTGAGATTCACAACCGAGAACCCCGAGAAAAACATGAAAAATAAAAAGGAAAGACGAACGATGAAACAGTTCAGAGAACTTCCGTAGTCAAATTTCATTGGTAATTTGAAGTACAACGATCTAAAGTTTCATTATCACTTGTCCAATATGTATGTACCGCCTTAAAAAGACACAAACAGAATGTTTCGTTGAAACGCATACAGTTTATGACTAAGTTCGCTTACCGTAATTTCACTCGATATTGTCATTGGTTCCTTGGGTTCCTAGAGGAACATAGGGCTTCAGTTGCATGTCACCATTTCACTCTCTTCTCTCCAGACTTTTCAACCTGGCTCCACCACTACCCATAACCATTCATTCCCTCCTCACACGATCTCCTCCGTGTCACCCTCGCCTCGGACGCCCAACTAGTCGTTTCCAATTTGGGTTCCATTCGAGGGCCTGGACTAGCCTGGCCTGGCCTGGCCTGGCCTGGCACGTGGTGTCCCCAATAGGTCTTCTCAGTGTATGTCCAATCCAATCCATCTCCACTTTCTTCTGCAGATTTGTCGGGTGACAGGTTCTTGGTTGGTTCGTTGCCAGCCAGCCAGCCAGCCAGCCAGCCAGCCAGCCAGCCAGCCAGCCAGCCAGCCAGCCAGCCAGCCAGCCAGCCAGCCAGCCAGCCAGCCAGCCAGCCAGCCAGCCAGCCAGCCAGCCAGCCAGCCAGCCAGCCAGCCAGCCAGCCAGCCAGCCAGCCAGCCAGCCAGCCAGCCAGCCAGCCAGCCAGCCAGAGTTCCTTGTTGCTTATTCTCATCATTATTATTCTGACCATCAGGTCTTCAGTGTCAGTATCGAGTGAGCGTAGACGGAAGCTGTCGATGAATGTCTGTAGTTTGTTGGAAATGCTTTTCGTAAGGTGCCAAGTTTCTGAACCATCACATAGAAGCACTGACTTGACTGACATTAGTGTTGGGAATCCGGATCTGAATCAAGCTTTATGCTTAGTGCAAAAGCCCTCCACACTGTTTCAGGTTAACGAAGGCCTGTCTTGCTATCTTTTCGATGCTGACTGGCTTTGACGTCCTCATCTGTGCCTGTGCCGCCACCTGTAGTTGAAACGATGCTGTCTAGGCAGATAGGTGAAAGAGGCTACTTCTTTTGGTTTCTCCCGTTCATGGTGATTGATGCTTGTTGTTGGTTGGGTGTCTTCATCACCTCTGTCTTCTCCACGTTCACTTGAAGTCTCTGCTTCGCTGCCCTGCCTCTTCTGTCAACTTGTTGGTTTTTGCCTGTAGATCTTCGAGTTTGTGCCACAAGACATTAGACATAGATGATCATCGGCGAAATCTAAATCTTCTTCTCGGGTAGTTACATCGGTCCAGCTTCTCACAGTTTGGTGCATTATCCAGTCGCCCACAATCAGGGAGATCATAGGCGATAGAAGGCAGCCTTGTCTCACTCCTGTTTTCACTTCAAAGGCATCACTGAGCTTCCCACTTTGAATCACTTGGCATGTGGCGTCTTCATGTAGTTAGTTGTTGAATGAGGTTGATAAAGGTTTGTGGTATTCTGTAGTGTTGAAGCAGTTTCCGAATTACTTCTCGGTCATCACTGTCGAAGACCTTTTCGAAGTTGATGAAGTTGAGTGGCATTCTGTACTCTTTTCTATGATGAAACGTAGGGTAGCATTGCAGTTTGGTCCGCATATGATTGGTTCTTCCTGAAGCCAGTCAGGCAGCCAGCCAGCGTGTTGTGGTCGTAGTGGTGGTGGTGGTGGTTGTGGTTGTGGTGGTCGATTCAACAGCTATTCGAAGTGGTCAGCCCAACGTTTCCTTTGTTCCTCCTCTTCGGTGAGAACTACATTTCCTTCACTATCTTTCACTGGTTTCGTCTGAGTTGATCTCTTCTCGGATAGTAACCTGGTGATTTGATATAGTGTTGTCAGGTCTCTGTCTCTCCTACTAGCAGACTGCTCTGCTTCACTTGCAAGTGTGTCGTAGAAGTGTCTTTTGTATTTGCTTGTAGTCTCCTCCACTTCTTTGTCCAGTCTAGTGTTTTACACGTTGTCCTCACTTCCTCTTCTCGTTGTTCATCCGTGCACTGCACTGATTTATCTTCTGCCTCACCATCTTCATCACCCTCCTCTATCAGCTTCCATGTGGCCATCGCGATCCATTCCTTGCCTTCTTTCTTCTTCCTTCCTAATACGGGTATGCAGGTTTCTTTCCACATAGCTTTCAAGGAGTTCCAGTATTCTTCCACACAGGTCTCTTCAGGGATGCTCCTAGATATCTCCCATTTTGTCTTCATGGCTGACTGACGTGAAGATGTCCCTTGTAGTTTCATCCTTCAGTTTCTGGGCATTGAACCTGAACTATGGTCTACCACCAAACTCTTTGAAGGTTCCTTGCACTAGAGAGATAGTTAGTGGTCTGAAACTACATCTACTCCTCTTCTCGATCTTGTGTCGAGTAGGCTACGTCTCCACTTTCTCCACATTGAGATGAAGTCGATCTGATTTTCAGAGAGGTGTGTCCTGGTGTCTGGTCAAATCCATGTCACTCGCTTTGTGGATATCCTTGTGCTTGAACACACTGCCTCCAATCATTAAGTCATTGAATGCACAGAATTCTGCAAATAGTTCTCCATTCTCGTTCATCACCTCACCGAGCGCTTCTCAACTCATGGTTAGTTCTCTTCCTGTGTTGTCCCCTCCCAGTTTGGCATTCATGTCGCCACACCCATTAGAATTCTGATATCGCCAACTGCAGTGAGGTCTTGTCCAGTGTTGATTGCAGTTGTCTGTAGAATTCCTCCTTCTTCTCTTCATCTGCATTATTTGTAGGTGAGTAGCGTAGCGTAGCATTGTATGATTGTGACTTTCCTTCCTTCTGAGTTGAACCTTGTTGTCATGATCCTGCTGGAGGGGATTGGTTCGCACTGCATGAGAGAGCCTTCGATGCTGTTGGGGACATCGTGATAGCCACTCGAAAACTCAGTGTGTTCGTGGTTGTCGTCTGGGTGACAATATCGGAGTAGATTATTGATTCTCCAGTTGACAGTTTGGAGAGTCCACTTCCATTCCATCTGCTTTCGCAGATTCCTAGCACTTCAATAATATATCTCCTCATCTCTTTTGCAATGTGGGAGTCTTATCACGTTCAAACATTGTGTGGACATTCCATTTCTCCATTCTTACTATTGCTTTCATTGGGAGAGGTGAAGACACATCGGCCAATTGGCTTCCCGAAGGGAGGCTCTCACCAACCGGTCTCATTTCGTCTCTCCGATTTCAGCTAGGAATGAGTTTGTTTTTATTTTTTATATTTTGTCTGTGCTTTGAAGTTTCTGTAGCGACTGGATTGGTTTTCCGGTGTAGGGTTGCTAGCCCTATGCTCAACCTTCCCTCTTGACTCGGGTTTAGGACCGAGTAGTAACTAGTGAGCTAGTTACTTAGGCGAGGTTGTTTCCATCATTAAATAGCGCAAAATTTTGGACTTGTTTGCAAGCGTTTTACCAAATACACCATTCAACATCCATTTTAATTTATGTATGTGGGAATTCAAATGAACGTCTGTCAGATGCATGGTGACTTTTGAGTTACCTGTGTATTCACAACTGTACCTCTTGGAGAAACCATAAAATTTATCAACCAACTTCCGGATTTTCTACGTGTTTAGCCATCTGATTTCAAAGAACCTATAATGGTGTTTACTACGGATGTCAAGTTGCAATTTATTGACATTGTATACTATCAAACTGAGGGAATAGCCATAGGAATCCCATTGGTTCTATTATAAGAGGATATCCTGATCTAAAGAAGCTAAAACATGTATTGAATGAAACGAAATTCCACTTAATATGTGAGGTTGATAAACTTGTTGTGTAGGACGACGTATAGCAGTCACCTCATTGGCTCAAATTATTGAGTAATGAGCACAAGAATATTTATTTCTCAGTGGAACATGATCACAATAGTACATTCAACTATTCACTATGAAGATTCTCTGTAGAACAGACGGTACACTCATAAGACACGTTAATAGAAGTCATATATTCAGTGGTCTCTGTCTAAATGTTGACGGCTAATGTTCAGTTCACCACATGCAAGCACTAAACAGCTTTGTCCTAAGGAGCAAAACGAATATGTGCACGTGGTAAACTTGAAGATAACTTATTGATAACTGAGAAATGTTCAATGAAAAATAGCTATTCTCAAAGATTTATCAAAAATATTGTGGAATTGAATGGAAAAAATTCGGAATAAGTTACAATTATCAAGTTAGTCCTCCTTCAGAGCAAATATGACAGAAATAATGAACAGAAGATTAAAATACGCACTGGTCATAAAATATTCTGCAACCAATGTAATCCCTGTTTTTAGAACAGCAATTTTATACTGATGAAGTCAAAAAGTAACAAGCATTCCTCGCATGTTACTTTAATCAAGTATTTAAATTTACTTGTATTTGTTAAAAGCGTATACATTGAACAGATAAAAAGAAAAGCTTACATGCAATTTTTGAATACATTCCAAGAAGCTTACTGTTAAGGGGATCTACCATTTTCACTAGCGTGATTGGCAGACACCTGATAGATAAATAACACAACATATAAGGCTCGAAATGTTTTAAAATACTCAGAAAGGAGAATAACCCCAACCGTAGCAGCGAACCAACCAATAATCCATCGTCCAACAAATCTGCAGAAGAAAGTGGAGATGGATTGGATTGGACATACACTGAGAAGACCTATTGGGGACACCACGTGCCAGGCCAGGCCAGGCCAGGCCAGGCTAGTCCAGGCCCTCGAATGGAACCCAAATTGGAAACGACTAGTTGGGCGTCCGAGGCGAGGGTGACACGGAGGAGATCGTGTGAGGAGGGAATGAATGGTTATGGGTAGTGGTGGAGCCAGGTTGAAAAGTCTGGAGAGAAGAGAGTGAAATGGTGACATGCAACTGAAGCCCTATATTCCTCTAGGAACCCAAGGGACAAATAACATTTATTCTTATCTAACTTACTGAAACTATTTCAACCAAAAGGCTAATACCTGATATGTGATTTCAAAAAGAAGCATTCGTTAATTCATTACCACTATGTTAACGCATGTATAAATCTTACTCTTACTCGATTTTCTCATCTCTTATTATCTTCGTTAGTACTGGTGCGATTTTTCAATTTGTTATAAATCCTTCATATAGATGTATATTTTTTCACCATCTCTATCCACTTCTGTTTGATCAGAATGTTCGCATTTATCATACATAAATGTGAGGTATTAAAATACCTTATAGTCCTCAGTTGTATTCGTGTGACTTGTGATGATAGATGTTGAACGTACTCACCGATTGACTTTTTTTGATGAACTGAAATGTGTTACATTCTGAACATAGCCCCACATTTAATTACGATCAGGTTGAAAGCAGCTGGCCAACGCGTGATTAAATAAAATGATATCATAATATTCTACTCAGTTCATTTTCTAGCTCTTCTCATTTTCTATGCTCTTAATGAATAAACCGTATATTTCATTTATCAACAAATAAATTGATTTATCTGGTGACAATAATATATTACAAGTTTAGGTTTCATACCATCTATTATTTACAGGTAGAGAATGAGAAACTGAAGAAAGCACTGAACTCTACAGAACTACCTTCATCAGTTGTTGTGAAAGACCTTACACCTCAGCGTAGGTTTTTTCAAATATTTTTCGTGATTCTGTTTGTGGTTGTTCACCATTTATCAGCTCATTCTTGTTGGTTAACTTGTAGAGATAGAAAATCTTAAACAACAAATGAGAAGAGAAATGATGGAACAGATGGAAGCGAATTTAGCTGCAATTGAAGCTCAAAATCAAACCGTATTCGAGGAGAAAGTAAGAAATGTGCTGATATGCATTATTGAGGAAAAATGTAACTAAAATTAAACTATAACTAACCTGATTCGAAAGTGATATTCGTCATATTTTGACTGTCTGCAACAGTCTTGAAATGGAAATACTTGAGTACTGTTGTTACGTCTTAAAAACAGTAATTTTTGCATAATATTGTTCAAGCGAATATCGGTTAAGGAATTACTGAAAGTTAACATGAAGTTGTTAATCAGTAAATCCACTTTAACGTATCCCGGTCTCACGGTTAACGCATGTGTCCATAACGTTTCTACCATATGAATGAAGCATTCTCCTTAGAGAGATTAAGCCTAACTAGTTACCTCAATTTTGACTATTGCTTCATTTTAGAACATCTTACTGTCACATTTCACAAATATGCTTGAAGCAACGACTGACTGCAGTGACAGTTACCTATAAGAATGCTTATAAATAGTTTATATGTAGGAACGTTAAAAGTGACAACGATTGACTGGTGAGGAATCAAGCAAAAGCATATAAAATAACCATTTGAGATATCAAGGGTGAAAACCAAGCAGAATGAGAAGCAGTAGAAGAGGCCATTTGGAATTTAATATTTTTATCATTTTCAGTTATATTTTCTCAGTCAATAATATCTGCTGCTTCAATACTCTTTGCTTTTATGCATCGAGAAGTCACCTTTCCGGGAGATTAACTCAGCATCCCTTCTAACTGCTTTAAAAGAAGAGGAATTATTTTTAAAGGGAGAAGCAAAGCATAAAGTTGTCAGTGAAACGTATGTTGAAGTGAACTAATATGAAGCCTTGAAACCATTTGAATATGCATTTCATTCTCAATATTTGTAGTGACACTCAGTGGGTCGAATACAACATGCTTTTCATGATTTACGTATTTATCCGAAACCTTAAGGTAAACGCTATCTTCCTGAATTATCATACATTTAAAACCTATTTCCATAGTCGGAAAGGTGATAAATAAAGCACTTAGGCTAAGAATGACTGTCCACGAGACTGGATTATGTTGTTAAAACCATTTAAGAGATCTAGTTAATCGCTTCCTTTAAGTATTACGTATTAAATAGTGTAATAAAGTTACTGAACTTAGTGATATGTTACTTAGAGTATGAACTAAATACGATATAAAAATATATTCATTTGTTTAATCTAGTCATCGAAGCAATTACTTGCAGATAACTAGGAAACGGTAAATCCGATAACTCAGAATTCGTCTAGATAAACAAGCTTCCATAGTGTGGTGAACTGTCACTGCTACTGAACCGCGATAATCCTGATACCTTAATTAAACTTTTTTTTTCTGTGTAAACAACGCACTATCTTGTGGTCAGCGATGCATGGAATTTCACTATTGAAGCTATACGTTTAACCTTATTGTGCACAATATGTTTTTCTTTACGTATTCTAAGCAGTAAGTGGTTATATTTTCCACAACTAGCTGTAAAATGTCATCCTGTTAACATATTAGTATAGAGACCAACATTGAAAAACTGTATGTGAATACACTTAGTTGATGGTCATTTCCAAACATTTTCTAGATTTGGACCTTATGAAACAGATTTTTATGCAGGAGTTAGGTGATGCGGGCTGAGTATAACTTGTCTTTTTTAGTGAATATCAGTATCTTATGAATAGTTTCTCACTGTTACACGAATGATACCGTAAAAGTGTTTGCTTTGCAAGGAATAAACAACTGATAATACTTATATTCCGGTCGGAGTATGCATCCGTAACCTGATCAAAAGATGTTAACTTATTCATTTTGTATCATATTTTGTCACAGCTACAACAAGCTCGAAAGGAGATAGTTCAACAGTCGATGATAGCTGAGAAAAAGGCAGGTGACTCACGTAATGCCTTGAAACAAAAACCGTATCTATCAAACCTGAATGAAGATCCACAACTGTCTGGAGTTATTATACATATTCTATCTCATAAACGGGTAAGTAATAGCCTAGATTTAATTTAAGTTATGCCTTGACTTTGTTCGCTAAATAAGTAATGAGAAAAGGTTTTGTTATGCATTCGTTATGGTTCGGAAGTTTAAACTAGGTGATAAGGTTTAGAAGTTCTGTTCTTATGTGTAACTTCAGAGATTTAAAAGTTTTTGAATTATGTGCTGAACCGGAAGATTTGCATTCTATTTTACACCAGTTTGAGGGTCTGGCATAGGAAGATAGGATTAAGGTTTGGGTCCATATCCGAACACCAAGCGATAACCCGAGGTGGGTTTCCCATTTTTGCAACAAACCTACTGCTGTCTGATCCTTTACACAGAATAATATGTTTTAATGTAACTTAGAGTTGTTCATAACCTAAAGTGACTCTAAAGGCCAGAGTAGCAACCACTAAAATAAGCGATTGAATCTCTTTATTTCGCCTGGAAAGGAAGCATTCACATTAAATGAAGACACTGACATATCTTTTTGGTAGATGTATACAGCTATGTGTAGGTAGACTCTTGAAAAGTAACCTTAGGCTTCACCCTTGAGGGTCGCTTGGTTCCTCAAAAACCAAAAGAAGTGGCAAAAACGACAAGAGGTTTATTGTCAAGTCAGACATGTACCTTGATAAATTCTGTATTTTTCAAGGAAGTCATTTAACCAATCTGAGACTAACAAGTATGATCGCGTAGTTTTTCGTGGACGTTCGGCATGCCATGATTGGCTGTAAAGGCGTACTAGGGAATTCTAGGCTTCTTTGAGGAATCTAGGGGATATTGTCGCACTCTGTAATAGATATTTAATTAGCCATTTCAGTAGGTGCCAGAGTGATCTTTAGAGAAACTCTACAATCTATCCCTAATAAATTTACATCAAGTAGGCAATAAATGTTTTTCGGTTGCTTATTTTACCCTGTTCAGCTCTGAAATTGTTATTCAATTTAGTATAAGCTAATAAAGGAAGAGATTGGTTATGACTAAAATTTCATTGCCGGTTATCTAAAAAATGGACTATTCTCTCAAAACTACACATTTCCGAAAGAGTGAATGGCTTTATAAAGGCCAGAAAAGCAAATGCCGAAATAACCAGTTAGGTTTCTTTATTTCAAATATAATCCTAATTTTTTATTAAAATACAAAATTGTAGTTGGTTACTTCAGTAGTTGTTAGGGTGGTGTTTAGAGTCACTCTAAATATCTCTGTGGTAGTTATAGGGCAGATACAATTGTAACTTGATATAGCAGAAAAATTTCCAGCTTTCTTCATGCTCACTTAGTATTCGAAAGACAACATTTTCACGGTTGAAATTTGGTTTAGGCAAACTTTTATTATGTATTTCATTCATATAGGGGAAGATTTTTCAAAACTGGTTGAATTTCAGTTAACGTCATCAATATAAACTGTTCAGGTGAATAGAATTTCCTGTGATTTTCTAAACACTTAACTGGTAATATCGTTCAGAATTCGCAGATACTTTTATTGCTGAAAGAAAATTGGACAGTTATATAAAAGGCTTTACACGTTGTTTCTCTTTCATTATTGTGATCGATAGATTAAGGCTTAGTGATCCTGATTTCTTTAGTTGCAGTTAGTAGTGAACCGATAATAGTTTAACAATCCGATACAGATCTTTACCAAAAGGTAGCTAGCAGTAACCACAACAAAGCTGAATGCAGCAAGAATCAATAACGTTTCAACAATAAGTTATTTTATGTTATTACTTCATTAACATGCGTCCTAGGAAACACTATATGATGAAGCGCGAATTTAGGTGTATAAAGGTTCACTTCCAGTGGCTTAGTACACTAACATGAATCACAACCTTCGAAAAAGGTCTCAACTGGTTGTTTTATTCAGATGAAATAGCAAAGTCGTAAGCGATGTTCCAGAAGCTGCGGATGCTGATAAGACTTATTATGTCTCTCAGTTAAGACTTTTAATAAAGTTCGAATAGATTGGTAATGACGTTTTTAAACACAGTTCGAATTGTAATTGCATATTAGATTTATTAATTTGATATAGCACACAATGACACAGCATTATTTACTTGATGACAAAGTTTTGAGCGTAAACTATTCTTCATAATCATGTCAATGGTTCACATGATTATGAGCAGTAGTTTATGCAGTGATGCAACCATATCAATTTCTACATCCGATTTTTACGGTCCTATCACCTCATATTCTTTGTTTCATTATTCGCAAAATTTTTCACATCGGAATAGGTGTTGCGTCATTCCTATTATACATGTTGGGTGTAGATTCGATGAACACAGATCCAGTAATCAATCTCCCTCAACACCTGATTATAGTCGTTTTATCTTACCCTATTTTTCGGTTGTGTAAATGCATGCATTGCAGTCGTCAAGTTTTTCTAAACTTTTGATCTTATTGAGGTCTGTCATTTTATATTTCGCTAACTTCCTATGTTCCGATAATCTAAATGATCCAGACCAGCTACTGTGACCAATGTATAGTATTGAATTTGGTAGATTAGGTTATTTTGCTTAACTGGATCTAACGGATTTTTAAGCCGACAAAGCTTTTCTCTGAGTGAGTTTGTAGGTTTAAATGACATCCCAGTCATAGCCTTTTTGAGGATCCTACATAGAATTCTCTATTTCCTCCTTAAATGATGACATAAAAGAGGCTTTGAGCTCCTTTCCTCTCGTGTTGTAGTTATTATTCCTATCCATATTACTGTTATTATTTCGCTTCTTATATGTTCGTAGGAATTTCTTAATGAACTATAGATTCGTTTCTCTTCACGTTCCTTCCGTTTGTTTCAATTCCCTGTTTAAGTCGATTCACTGACTAGTGAGTTTTCTAAGCGGTCTTGCATGAGATGACCTGAAGTCTAAGCACTTGTTGGGAAGTGTTAGTTTCCCATAGACTATAGTACCTAAAACACTTTCCGTTCTTCGTTTTACTCTGCATTCAAAAATGGCTAATTCTACTTGTTCATTTTCTCCGCCGTAAGAGAATTAAATTCCGTCTACTACCGAGTTTTTATGTTTGAGGAAACTGTCAGTATGTTCCGATTTCAACACGGCAAATGTTTAATCCATATATCACTACCATATCTGAGGTTCAGGACTGAACCTTTGTAAAGCCATGTTTTCCTAACTATCCATAATAAAAAAATAATGGCTTTATTCTGAAAGAAATTTCGGAAGTACTGTACAGAATTTTCAGCATGTCATATAATGTATATACATACATAATAAAATGAAATAAATATGTATTACGTATAAAAGATAAGAATGTTTACTCCATCTACAACTTTCTTGAAAATCCAGAAATAATTTAGATAAATAAATACATTAGCAATTGTATTCATAGTACATAAATAATAGCAAGTTGTGTAATCCTTACTTAGTTTGCTTTCAAAAACAAAAATTGGTTAATTAGTCCATTTCTAATACTTTCGTCGTCGCTCATCTAGCCAGTAAGGTTGTTCCGTACGTTTCGTTGTCCGTTCATAAAGTGCATAAAGTTTCATACACTGTTCATCGTCTTGCCTGACGACCGAAATGTAGAGAACTTTGAGTGAAGAGGATGCTGGTCATCTGACAAAATAACTTCATAAATGTCTGCTACAACTGAGGATATTAATGACCCCATTTTTACTTTTTCTGTTTATCTATATATTTCATTCTAAACCTGGAAGCCTGACATCTTAGTTCTATGAGTAAGCTTTGAGTCAATATTTGGTCGACTTTTGATTGCCTCCAGCGCCATAATGATTGGTATTCTAGTATAAAGACTTACAATATCGAAAGTAACCATGTTGTTCATCCTCTTCTATACACAGGTAATTAAGTCTTCGTTTGAGTCGTAGAAATTGACTACTTTATAACTTGAACAGTCCCAACTGGAAGTGAACAAGGCGCGGAATTTAAATCCCTTCAGTCATATTTTCTTTGGAAAATTCCATACGTTCTTTCACAGTCTTTTACAGATAACTGTCGACTATTTAATGTTTTCTTAAAAGTTTTATTTGTGCAAGGCGACTGCAAGCAAATTATGCCGTTAAAATTTGTATTCATGCTATCATTGATAACAATCCAGAGTTCACGGATTTTCAGCGACTCATCTGGACAGACTTTGATATTTTCTGTTCCGTTTTTGATTCACTTCAGATACTTTTAAATATTTGGCAGGTTTCAAGTGATAATAACCGGTTAATTTTTTTGGAATCAACGGTTTTCATACAAATTATTGTTTCGTGTCTTTTTTTCATCACAGACTGGAATAGGACGGGAACCACCGAGTCCAAATGAAACACAGCCAAGTGATAATTCATCGAAAATTCATTGGATTCAAATGAAAGGTTTATGTATGCTGGATGAACATGCACTCATAATAAGGCATGGTAGAACTGGTTCAGAGGTCGAATTACGCACGTTGCCTAGTGCTAGTAGGATGACAAAAGTGAACGGAATTCCTATAAAGAAATCTGTTACACTTCAGCATAAAGATCGTATACTATTCGGTAGGATTATTGTTCTATCACATGTCTGTTATATGCTGCTTTGAAACTTGAAATGGTCAAATACGAAGTCTTTCTTCTCAATGTTTATGTGGATGCTTGTGAAACACTACCTGTGATAACACAAATGTTTGGATGATTCGATAGAGAAGTATTTATATTGTAGCCTAAGACTCCAACTTACTGGTACTCATGAGGTACCGTTTTAGTTCTACTAGTTGCAGAACTCAAGAATATTCCTTGTTATATGATATACTGTTTATAACATTGTGACTTTATAACCGGGAACACAATGGGAAAACGAACTTATATTCAGAACTGATGGGTAAAATAACTAAAATGTATGGGATTTATCACGTAATGATGCCAAAGAAGAACAACTTGTAGGAAGATAGTCTAAATTTAGAAAGCAAAGTTTTTTAAATTATAACTGTACGAAAGATGTGTACAAAATTTATCTCTGAAGGATTATTAGTTGTTCATGTTTAGTTTCAAGATGACGCTTTGTTCATTTAAAAATGAAGCCGATTTCATTTCATTTCTCCCATCAATGTAGTGTGATAAAAACTCACTTAGTCAATCATGTAGATGTTTGCAAAATTATTATTCTTATATGGCTTAACCCTAATCACTGTTAAGGACTTAGTTTTAAAGCTGCCTAACTGGTTGAAATATTAGTATTACTGCTGTTATGCAAGGATACACGTGAATCCAGGTGACGAGTCCCAAATAGGACGAAATGCACATTCTAGATTCCACTGCTAGCCACTATCCATTATTACTATAATCATTGAAATATTTTCAATATTTCTAGTAAGGTGCGATGTAATCAACCAATAATGTCAATATAAATGCCTATAAATTCTTTTTATCTACTACTCAAAATTTTGTAGTAAATATTACCCCACATGCATCTACTGATATCAAATACATGTAATGTCTAGAACATGCAAAATCAAAACCTGAATTTCGTTCAGCTTAAATTAGGATAGTCGAAAAAATATCAAATCTGGATTCATAATTTTTGCTGAGTAATCGAAATCTAAATGACATTCATTGAACTGTACTTAGAAAGCTTTATGATAATTATTTAGTCACCCCTTGAATAACTCACACACCATATGAACAAACCATCTTGGACAACTAATACTTATTTTGGTTTAGAATTTGTGAGTATTGATAGGATACAATTACTAAACAAGATTATGATTTACGTTCCAGTTTCATCTTTTTTCATACTGCATACAAATGCGATGCATAGATATACTACTGTGGCTTGACTGGTTAAGTAGCGTGACACAGTTTACTTACGACGACATTTTTCAGGCCCGTTTGCACCGGTTACCCATGATCTTTCATCGCAGCGCTCGTAATTAGAGGTATGACACTGCATATAAATTCCTCTTATATCTTGCAGAGTGAATAAAGGTTTACAGTAACATCATTGTGTTATTCTGGACATGGAAGTCATGTCAAATATACGTGGCTCAAATGTCATTTAGATGTTGTCACTTAGCGTGAATATAATCTCAAAACTTGGTGCACTCACAATGAATCGCTTTCCTTACTAAATTTTCCAGGTTCACATCAGTTATATATATTTTACAATCCACTGTCGAAGGAATTCGCAGATGAACTGAAATCTGGTGGTGAAATGGAAACGATTGACTGGGAATTCGCACAGCGTGAATTAGCACAAGCTACAGGTTTTGAACAGCTTGGAAATAAACCTAAAAAGAAAGGTAAGTCTCATGTATCCTCACTAAATTTTAGATTTAAAAGAATGTCAACTAGTTCTATCAAATTTATTGGCAATTAGTGGTCGTTTGCCTGTTCACTGTAGATTCAAAAAATGGCTATATCAGTTGTGTACATAACTCCTTACAAATATAATGCAGTATTCTTACTAACTACTTGAAGATGGAGTAGAAAATATTTTTTTTAGTAAAATTAATGAGTAGTTTAGTGCTCTCACTGCCAGATTTGGCCACACTTTTTCTATGTACTTACAATTGTAGAAAAAGTATTTAAAAACCTGAAGCTCATACACTGAGAAATAACTAAGTTTAAGAGGAATATCATGAATATTATTTATCGTCAATCTAGATCAAGATCGACAAAAAAAATGCACATTCAGATATTCCAGTAAATTCCTTCATCATCACAATTTAGTAATCAGCTCTAAGAGGAAACTCAGTATCCATAAAAATCGAGAATAAAAAACCCTTATGCTTTCTGATTCATCTTAATAACAGTTAAGTAAATAAAGTTTCTTTCTTCCTCCCGAAAATGAGTCGAAAAATTTCTTTAGTTCTACAATAATTCCATAGTCTATTAGAATGTTGAAGCTTCATATGGTAGGAAGAATGTATTCAAACTATTTTCAGTCGACTATTATGAACTGAACATACTGAAAATTCACGGTGATGAACTTTGGATGTGATGCTTTTTGCTCATCATAATGAATTTATACACAATGCGGTCTTGAAGACGGTGTATCACCACCCCATCAGCTCACTGTTAACACCTCTGACTGCGGTACTGGGTGTTGGGGGTCCAGACCTCTGAGATTATATAAATTCCCTCAAGGCTGAGGTAACACTAGATCAATGAGTTCCAACAAATACAAAACTTATGTTCATGGATTTCTGTCGATGTCTTGCAACCAATTAACCTTAAACTTCCACTCTTTTTCCGGATATTACAAGCTTTTTTCGATTTTCAAAAGAATAATTTTTGCATCGATAAAAACACAATAATTTGTTCCCTCTATGCATTTTTTTACGTTTTGATAGCATGGATATACACATACCTCTATTATGTAACTGTTATTAGTGAAGACAAAATTAATAATAACCTCCAAAAGAAAAACAAACTGAGTACAACTTAAGTTGATTTTCATCATTGACTGACATCATTTGGAGGAACAATGGAAACCTGGAAGCACTTAACAACTGTTTTGTCCTAATATGGGACTCCTCAGCAGTACCCACCAACGACCACGACAGGGATCGAGTACAATTTATCACAAATAAATTTGACGTCTGTTGACTGGCCTTGATCAGTATTTTGTCTCGACAGTATTTAGAGCAAAATTACTGCCGCCGATCTCATCATAAGTTGTCAGTCCTCAATTTTAGTCTGGAAATAATAAAAAAGCTATGTGAATGCGCTTGACGGTGATCATTTATAAGACTAACGCAATTTTATATTGCCATTAGTGCTTCATTTGGACACAGCTGTTAGTATAATTACAAAAAAGTTTTCATTGAACCCCTATCGTTTTTTTGGATGCTTCGTTAACTGCACATTGCTTAGAATCAGATTAGCCCGTCGACTCGACTAATTTACCGTCACTCTGAGGATCAACATCTGTTAGTATTTGCTGACCTTATCAACTAAGGATGTCAGCGAAAACACTCGGTTAGTAACTTCTGAATATTATCAAAATTGGACGACTGGGATCAACCTCATTAAGGTGAAAAAAGTATCACCACCAAAAAAATGTAACTTTTTGACAGTTTTTAAACATCCGCACTATATTTTTCAACGACTTAAGCACTAAGACTACCCGATGACAAACCTCTTAGTATGAGTTTACTTGGTGAAACAGAAACACTTAAATTTATCTAAATTACTAGACTTGTGCTTTACAGACTTTATCACAAAATTTCACGAAGCTATATCACGAATGCATCACATTCATAATTCACAGAGGATGCAATACTACAGGAGGAGTTGCTGGAACTGTTACCGCTAATAAATGAAGTTAATGCCATAGCTGATGAACTAAACAAACAAAGAATATTTGAAGTAATCTTACTGCCACCAACCGCACAGGCTTTGAAATTTGGTGAACCGAAACGTACTAAGTAGGTTGAAATCTTGCCATGTTTTGGTCAACTTTTATGTTTTTCAATACGATAAATTTCCTTTCCAACTAGTCCAATGCTCACATAAATGTAAAAGTTAGTATATTACGTTGTTTTTCTCGTAGCTGCAATGTTCTGCTGGTGACTGGTTAAACGTTTCCAAGCTTTTATTATCAATGCTAAGGAATTGATATGAAAATAAACTATTGCATGGGAGCTAACCGTATGTAATCTAGTCATAGTATGGTGATAAATGTGGTTTCTATATTCACAGAGTTAAACGAGTTCTAGAGACAGCTTTTTGTGATATATGTGTCAAAGTATGTGACATGGTACCCTAATGAGTTACATTCAGTGCCCAATCAGAACTAGTTTCCCCATTTATTTTTCTTATTACCGAAGCCTATCTTATAATGCAAGTCAACTTGTTCCCTGGTACTGGTACTTAAAGGTGAGCTATAAAGAATGGATTGTTACCGCCCTTACAGTTACAATTTTTTCGAGAGATTACCTTTCTTCTAGTTATCAGTTAATATGTTTTTACAAGTTTAACAAACTATTATGCTGAAAAGTAAAAGTAGGTTGTTCAAAGTTGGTCTCTTTCGTATTTATATAAATCAAATTTTAGAGTCATGGTTCGCATGAAGTGCACGAAGACAGGTCACATGTGGTTATGGGAAAGCGGAAAGTTTATGACACGAAGGTTTTTAATGCAGGCAAGAAAACTATTGTTTTTAATCTTCTGTTTTTCTAAACTGAAAAGTATAATTTCATTAGTATCAGCTAGTGCCTACATCAGTGAATATTTACTTTCAGATGCTTTTCTACTTCAAGTACTATTAATTAAGGATGACGTTATGGATTGCGTTTGTTCGAAAAACAATTTGATTTGAAAGTATCTATCAAATGCTGAAATAGCCAATAGGTTCGGTGATGAGATATCTGAGATCAAATATATTAAAGTTTGGAAGATAGATATCTAACATTTTTTTTGTTTCAATCTTTAACTTCTAATTTACTCTACTTCGGCATAAATTCTCTCTCTATTTTAACCAATATCTGATCTGATTTTGAAAGAACAGTAAGATCATAACTTATCCCGCTCTAAGATGGCCTTATTTAACAACAGTGAGTTAAAATATCAATTGTTGAGTGCGTGGTAATTTCAGATGTACACTGTTTGATTTGTACGAAGTTCAGAGTAACCCAGACATCGATGCAAATAGACCAAGAAAATCTGGATGGTTGGCACGAAAAGTGCAAAACCTACATAATGACCTTCAATCCAATGGACTGTTACCGTCTAACACGTTCAGAAGAATATCATCCCTTAACAATTGTAACTGTCTTCAAAAGTATGAAACTATCAAATATAGTTATATATAGTTAGGATGGATATAACTATACCAAGCCCGTAATAAGAAGTTCTCTCTTTTCGCTTAGTTCACTGGAATTTCATGAAGCGGAATGCAATTAAATGTGACTAGCTTTGAATACCATTGTGAATTCTCAAGGTCTGTATAATGAATGCGCAAGCATCACAAGACAATTCACAAACATTACAACGCTATTTAAGTGACCACTTGCACCATAGAAACCAAAATGAAGGTTCTTCCACAAGGTCGCATATTGGCTGAATTACATCAAAGTATAACATTAGATGTCAGTAACCATTAACTTGTGTAATTTCATGCGTTACCACTTCGTGGAATATTCTGTGCAGAAAAAAGGTTGTTAATTCTCTTCGCTAGTCACTTAATTACCTCTGTTGTTGTGGCATGTGTATTTGTCATTTATAATATGTGTAGTCATCTTTATTGAGTTCAGTAGATTGAAATAATTAATTGTGAAGTCTTGGTTTATACTGTATCACATTCAGATTGTGTCGAACAAAAAAAGGGCATTTCTTTGCAGTCTGCTTCATTGTCACGTTAATATTTACATATGTAGTTTCGGTTCAACCTTACTCATTTTCTAACTTACGTCAGTTTGCAACATGCCCGGTCATATGTCGAACATCACATTTAGAAATTACTCCAGTTTTGATGAGTCCCTAGCTAAGGTGCATTGAATTTCGAAAACTTCATGACCTTCTGTGGTTCTCTTGCTGGCAGAAATCTGTGAAAGGGAAAATACTTGAGTTTATTAAATTTTTTCTGTCGAATCACCTATATCAAACCATCAAAGAACATTCATTCTTTTATCTTTCAGTCTCTATAATATGAATGGAGTGCTTGCACATCTCAACAATATCCAAGAATTAATTTGAGAATGATTCCACCATATTGTAAGATTTTAAGAACCTCAGTTACGTTTAGAGGTGTTGAACAAACTAATGACAAACACATGTTATGTGACTGTAACTAAACAACACCATTTCAACCATATTATATTACAAATGAAACGAAATTTTTTACAGCTAGTTTGAAGTTGTAGTTTTTATTTAGCTGGAAAATGTATTTTTTTAACCAGTTGTTTTGAATAAACTAAATTCTTCTTCTATTTCTACTTCTTTATAGGACATGTATCAGAAGTATTTGAACAAAGAGTTAGAGGATTATTCTGAGGACTCTGATCCTTTCTGGGAGCCACTAGAAGATTTATTTATTGGTATATCCCCAGCATTTCTTAGAGCATTATCTTATCGTCTTGATGTTGATGAAGAATTGAAGATTATGGATTTTGTTGGTGATGAGATAGGAACTATCAGTGTGAAATTAATTCCGTGTACATCGCCTATGTCAATATCTGCAAAACCCTCAAGCACAGTGAATACTTATGATCTTGATGAAGTCAAGTTTATAGAAGATCCCAGAGAACTAATCGGTAAACCATATCACTTTAAGGTATGCTTCCATCCGTTCATAGACTACATATATTGATTACCCCTTTCTCAAAAGCACTAAAAGTCATGCATAATCTATATCAGTTTAGGAGGGGAAAAGACTTATCTTTTTCAATACATTTCTACATCAGACTGTCGATTGATTCCGTGGTCATTATTCGATATTCAGGCAGCTAAAAGAATAATTTGAGGAAGTGCACAACATGTATTACTCGACAACACAAAGCAAGTACTTGAAAGAATTCATAATTTTTCTTCTAGATACTAAATAACTGGTATAGTCCGCATCACGGTCAAAGAGTGAATAGGCTCTAAATGTCTTCCTAGCCTAGCAGTTAGACTTAATTAACAGAAAGAAGAAAATACTAAAATAAAGAGCGACAGGGAATATAGAAAAAGATATTTTCAAGATTCTGAACAATGAAACGTTTGTGTTTATGAGTTTAGACAACAAATATTGAAGCTGTGCTTGTTAGTTAATACTGTTGCAAACTGTTAGTGGTTCTATGGACAGATGTATTTCACTCTCTTCAGAACACTTTTAAGATTCTGTTCACTTTACTTTTACTCTGGCTCACATACACTACTAATTAATGTATTCCAGAAATGAATAATGAAGTTGTACAAACTTGATGTTTCTCTTCGTCGCATATAACTCAATAATGAGCAACCGAAAAGCGGAAGATGTTTAAAGAATTCGGAAGACAATTATTGTTTGTAAATAAACTGGAATAAAAATTATGAAGATTTCCAGTTTTCAACATCATGAGAAAGCGTGTCAACTGGCCTACATCTGTTACGCCAGTCATCGCTTCTCCATGTCAAATTAGGTGACTTAGTACTTGGAGTGTTTCACCACCTTTATCAAAACAGACTTCCTGAAATATTACGGCTTATTTTATGCAGCTTCAGTGCGAAAGTTTCACATGAAGATGTGAATACATCCTTTTTAATAGAACATACTAGTTGTGTACGCAAGAAGTTAATAGAGTTTTAGAAAAACACTTTACAAGCAGACAATTTTTGCTGGAAAACCTTATTTTTAGGGAACTGAAACTTCCATATTAAATGCAACTGTGATAGAAGTAAGCTCTGATAAACATCACAATTCATCCAATAGCTGGTATGCATAAGCTCTGACCAGATAGAAGTTAATTAAGTTGCAGATAACCTTTTCTTTCGAATTGGACCCATTTTATCAGCGTTTCTTAATGACTGATTTAACTGGGAAAAATTGGTTACAGGTTGACTAGAACAATGATTTGGGCGTCTGAAATAGATACTTCTTGGTGTATTGGTGATGGAGTCAGCCTCAAGAAAGTCAATCTTCTGTATTTTATTTAAAATACCACAATCAGATTTCAAGCACTAATGATATAAATGATAGCGCTATGAACACCAGTACCTGCCAGAATCGCAAACTATGGGGACTGTCTACTATTTATCTTCAGGTAGAACTGGTCGTCCCGTAGTTAATAAATGTGAAGTCTGAATACTATTTTTCGACAAGAAACTGAAATGGGATATTATAAACAAATGACTCTTAATTATAACACTCTTTACGTGAACTGAGAATCCATTAAACGCGGACCTTCATTCTTCACTATCAACTGGAGAAAGTAACCAATAAAACGCTTTATGATGAAATAAATCCATTTTATGGCGTTTCATTATAAACTAATTACCTCTTTATTATTGAATGATGAATACGCTAACAAATAATAATGATATTCATAATATTCACTGAACGTTTTATGGTCATAGCATTGACATAGAAGATGGTGACAACGGTGTGAACACCTTTGGATCATATTACTTCTATTCCATTGGGACAGAAAGAATATTAACGTTTATGTTGTTTATATTGGTTAAACTTACGAAATACTACAATTCGGGTGAAGATTCTAAAAACAAAGGAAACATTATCAGAAAAATATAGTAATACGATAAAATGCTTCTTGGACCAAACATAATACCAGTCTAACATAATGTGAGAAAATGTGGCAGACTGAGGTGATAAAGTATGCAAGACCTGAGTTTTAGTTTCAAATCATACAGTGGAATAATCTTCTTCTCCTTTTAAGAAACATAGAGTATATTAGTCTGCTCCGGTGACAGCAGCTTCAAAAATGCTCAGTAAAATTTACATTAATTGCTGCTGAAGTACTCTAATTCTGAATTAAATAGATACTTGGTTTAGTCTTTTGTTCTGAATATATATACATCTGAGTACTGAAATGAAATCAGGACCACTATGAAGCGGTTTATTTTTACGCAGTCATGAAATAAATATCATGGGACATTCGTGAATTAATCTTCTATCATGGCAACACTCAGTGTTTGTATACTTAAGTAACTAACGTTTCAAATCCAATATATATGAAATATTTTACCATAACTGGGATAAAATTGTTGTATAAAAGTATTTTCTCCAATACAAACCAACAGTATCAGAACAAAGATTAGATAGGACGATGTACAACCCTGAGAGTAGCACTGTAAGACATTTCAAGAAGTTTCATCATTTCCATGTTATTGTTTACACCTCAAGTGTTTAATCTTTCTGATTATATAAATCTAAGGAACAAGAAATGATCCTCTTAAAATAACTTATCTTTTTAGAAGCAGCCGACTTTATTTGCCAACCCAATGACTCTTCGCTATTGTGGTTTACGAAGTGAAACTATGGAATTATGTTATATATTCAAATAGTTTTGCGCGTTATTCATATGATCACGTGAATATGTGAATATTCCCAAATTTTTGCATGCAGTGACCTTCAAAACACACTAAAACACAATGCACCTCAGAATACCATTATCTAGTTACTTGGTCATATTACAAAAGTTGTTGATAAATATCAGTCTGGACTAAACGCCGAGAATTTGACAACTATACGGATTGTCCACTAACCTATTCATATGTATAATCAAGCTCTCTAGATATTTAGTCATGGTCTAGGTAGCTAAACTGTAGGATCTGTTAATTTAGAACTGAATAAAGTAGGTTAGAATCAACCAAGTGTTACTAGTATACTTCACAATCGAAAATATGCCTCAGGGACAAATCCTGACCTGACCTCTCCCAACCAATCTGGTGAATCCGCGAAATTCACCCTTCGAGGTTCTGGAGATTCGATAGCTAGCTCTCGTGGTCTCGCAGGTGTAGGTATAGCATTAAGCACCAGGGCAGAAAACTCACTACTAGACTGGATCCCAGTTGATAGTCGCCTCTGCGCTATGAAGCTGAACGGCACAGTAAGAACTAAAAGGAATAGTGAGACTCGCCGTTGTCTCTTTGTAATCTCTGCTTACGCACCCACTGACTGCAGCTCGGATGAAGTGAAGGACGAGTTCTACCATAAACTGTCTAACCTCCCCTCGAAAGCCAAACCTTCGGACGTGGTGGTTGTTGCAGGTGACCTCAACGCACAGGTGGGTAGACTGAGTGAGGCAGAAAGGCACTTAGGTGGCACTTTCGGAATCCCAGCTGAACGTGCAGATAACGGTGATCGCCTATTACAACTATGCTCAGATAACCGCCTATTTTTAGCCAGCACAAATTTCAGACATAAAGAAAGGCACTGTCTGACCTGGCGTCCACCGAGCTCAACTCAGCGATGGACACAGATAGACCACATTGCTATTAGTCATCGCTGGAGAGGATCGGTGGAAGACTGCCGCTCCTTCTGGAGTACGTGTTTGGATAGCAATCACGCGCTGGTCCGAGCACGTATATGCCTGCGTCTCAATGGACGTAGAAAAAATTTGGCAACAAAACCACTACGAGTGCTGCTGGACAACGGAAACACCAACGTCGTGTTCAGTGAGAAGTTGGCTAGGCAGTTATCGGAACAAAAGACTGTCACTCATCTAGAAGAAGCTTGGTGCCATCTTCAGTCTGCTGTAAAAGCAGCACTGAAACTGTAACCGACTCAAAAATAGTGGCTAAAAAGAGCCAGTGGATATCAACAGCTTCTTCCAAACTAATGGATGCACGTGAACGCCTCCCTGCAGGCTCTGAGTACAATGAAGAGCGAGCGCAACTAGATAGTAGACTAAAAAAAGTCTGCGCAACGATCGCGAACAGTGGTGGGCAGTGAAGGCTAAAGAGATGGAAAAGGCAGCGGTGATCGGTAACAGTAGACAGTTATTTAGACTTATTAAGGAGACTGGGGGGAAAAGATCAACAACAGTTAGTGAGGCTATAGCGGAGAAGGATGGGTCTGCGATTCACTCGCAGGGGAGACGACTGGAACGATGGGCAGAACACTTCGAGGAACAGTGAAACTGGCCTCCAACCACGACTGCGTTGCCCGCTATCCAGTCGGATCCTGAATGGGACATAGAGACAGGCTCCCCAACACTAGAAGAAGTTGAGAAGGCGGTAGGTAACCTGGTAGATGGTAGAGTGCTCTTAGTCAGGTTAACGGAAGTGTTAGCCAGTATATGGGAATCAAATACGATCCCCTCCGACTGGTCTAAGTCACTCATCATCCCAGTCTTCAAGAAAGGCGAGAAGTCCTCTTGTGATAACCACAGAGGAATCAGCCTGACAAACATAGTGTCTAAGATCCTAAGTTCTATAATTCTCCGACGCCTGAGTGGAGCTCGGGAACAGCAAGCCCGAGAAAACCAGGCAGGCTTTAGACCTGGCCGTGGATGTATCGACCAAATATTCACACTGCGCCAGGTCCTGGAACATAGGCATGCTTACAGACGCCCGACAATAGCTGTATTTCTCGACCTGAAGGCGGCATTTGACTCCGTTGATCGAGAAGTCTTATGGCAATGTCTGTCACTGAAAGGCGTGCCTAGTAAGTACATCACCTTATTGAAAGCTCTCTACTCGAACACTTGTGGGCATGTTAGAGCCTATGGTGAGTTGTCCAGGGAGCTATACTCATCAAGTGGTGTCCGTCAAGGATGCCCACTATCCCCATTCTTATTTAATTTTATCATAGATATTCTTATGGAGGTTTCCCTCTCGTCACCTAATTACAAAGACGTTGACCCGATCACAGGTGAATTTTCCTTAGATCTAGAATATGCAGATGACATAGTCCTGTTAGGTGAAGACGCTGACAAGATGCAGAGTCTTCTGAACACTTTGAGTGGGAATTTGAGAATGTTTGGGATGCGATTTTCACCACCCAAATGCAAATTTTTGCTCCAGGACTGGTCTTCAGCGGTACCGCGGTTAACAATAGAGAGTGAAGTGGTTGAGTGTGTTGACCACTTCACTTACCTGGGAAGTAGGATCAACCCGGTGGGTTAGTTGCCGATGAGATTTCTGCACGGATACAAAAGGCTCGATTGGCTTTTGCCAATTTGCGCCACCTATGGCGCCGCCGTGATATTCGTTTGTCTATTAAGGGTCGCGTGTACTGCACAGCAGTCCGCTCTGTTCTACTGTATGGCTGTGAAACATGGCCATTGAAAGTGGAAGATATAAAAAGGCTTCAGTGTTTGACCACCGTTGCCTTCGTAGTATAGGACGTATTCCGTGGTGTCACCATGTGAGTAATGCAGAAGTTAGGTGTAGAGTTTTGGGAGAAGAGGTAAGTCAGTCGACGAGGTTGTGAACCTTCATCGACTGAGATGGTTGGGACACGTACTACGTATGCCTAGTCACCGATTGCCTCGTCACACAATGTTGGCTGAGGTGGGTTCAGGCTGGAAAAAGGCCCGAGGTGGCCAGACTAAAACATGGCACCAATGTATGAAGTCTCTGACTGTTGGTTTAAGCCATGTAGGACGATGCAGACTAGGTGGTTGGGGTCCACGGGACAAGAGGAACCAGTGGTTGGAGACCCTAGGTGATATGGCTCAGAACCGAAGTCAGTGGCGCAGATGTATACACACATTATCCTCATCTTAACAACGCTATACCGAATCTCACCATTTTGTCACTCCTCTTTCCTTTCTTCTCGTACTTTATATTTCTTTTGACTGCATTCACTTATCTTCATCCTTCACCTCACTACCTTTCTACTTGATGAACTGATATGAGGTGTGGCAACTCGGACCGTTACGCAGTAATGCCTGGTCCTATGTTGATGATGATGATGATAAGGGACAAATCCCAAAATTTGTTACTGTTTTCCTGCAGATTGACTCCTAATACCTAAAACACAAGGCTTTACTTAAAAATGAATTTGATTCCATTAGCTGATTCGCTTCTGAACTTCTGAACAATAAATGTATACTCCCATGCTTAAAATAATACGAGGAAAGGTAAAATATTTGACTTACTGATATTAGCCAGCAAGGAGAAAACCCTGATATATAGCCCCTTAGGAACTATGTAGATTCTAGACGACTAAAGGAAAGCTTTTGATGATTAAAGTTGGGGAAAATATCCGTCCTGAAATCTCTCTTAAATTACTTATTTTTAGATAGTACTACACTCACTGAATTTGTACAACTCAGATCAAAGTCAACAAAAGTTCACAGTATATTATCGTGTGTTTAAGGAAGCACAACTTACAAAAGCCTCTATTGAATCGAATAAGATGTATACACGTCTATGTTCAATGGATGTAATTACGCAAGAACACTTGGATTATTTAACACAGATTTTATATGCTTCATGGTCTATGGTTCACAACTTCTGAAAAAATCTAGACTCAGTTATGATGTAAGTTCATAATGTGCAATCTTGAATTTCGATTTCTGTTTATTTTTCAAATGGTGCTATAACCAAGTAAATTATCATAATAAATATTCAGACAATATCGAGGTATTTGCATAGCAGCCCATATGCTAATAGAGGTCGAACAATTCGATCCAGTTTAACAACAGAAAACTGCAAGTATATCAGTAAACAATAATGACTAATACCCACCATACAAGAGGTGGCTATCGAGTTTCCATAGCCCTGCGAATAACGCTTTGAAGTTTGCAGCGACTGGTATGAGGTTCGAGCTTCAGTGGACACAAAATCACTCAATGTGGCGCAGGTACATCCAGCTGACGAATCCCGAATA